TTTTTTTTTTTTTTTCTTGAATTTTGATCCTGTGGCTGGTTTTTACTGGGCCTTCTCTAGCCGCTGCCACATCTGATGGCTCATATTAGCTGTCACTGTTTTTGCACATTGTGCCCTCAATAAATCATAATTGTGCTTCGCTCCCCAGGGCTTTTGTGTTATCCCAATATTTGCCAATCCAACTTGTTTAGTTAACGAACCGAATTTGATTCATGACGTTAGACTCAAAAGATAAAAAAAAATTTACACAAGTGTCTGAACTATATAATAAGCTCGAGTTGTTATGTTTAAAATTCGACTCGTTAAACTTGATAAGTAAATCGAGATTGAGCTCGTTCACGGTTAACATTAATTATCGGCTCGACTTGATAAGTACTCAGAGAATGAACTCAAACGTCATATGTTCTCAAACATCAAATGTTGGGTCACGACTCACTTGCAACTATACTTAAGGTGCGGTTCAAAATATATTTTATACGAGTTTATCTTTTTACGCAAACAGTAAAAAAAATGTAAAGATCTACACAAAAGATAAGCTAAGCTAGATTTACACACATATGGGGCTAAGATCCAATATACACACATTTATGGGTATATTGTGAGGTACCTATAGTTCTTTGGGGGGTCAAAATGCCAATACACACTACTTCTCGGTGCAAAATCCATAGTGACATAAAATATCTAGAATAGTCTTATGAGTGGCCCAAATTGGGTACCAATCAAAAAGTAGAGGGCCTAAATATTCTTCACATATATATTTCATAATTTATTTACATTTTTTTTTTTTCTTTCAAATAGCATTAGGCCTATTAGGGGTTAGTGGTGCAAATCTAATATTATAATATAATATATTAAAATTGCCAAAATATTTCAAATCAATGGACCATATCAAACCATCATCCAATTGGAATAAAACCTACGCTTTATAAAGATATTTTTGTACGGAGCACAACTTGCGGATGCGGGGCCCACGTGAAGATATTTTCGACGTTCGATGGATAAGAACATGACACGTGGACGCAATACTAAATATCTTACTTTTTGTTTGTGGCGTTCGAGTTGTCCAAATGCGTTATCTTCATATTTTTCCCTTCTTTTGTTACTTACTATTTTGCCCTTTATTTGAGTGTGTGTATGGTAGCCAAAGTTTGACGTTAGCCGGTAACTCGTGTAGAGTTCTTATTGGTTTGAAATTTGAATATCTTTTTAATTAATAATTTATTTTGTGTTGTGTATTCTTTATCAATATTTATTTAGGATTTGGAAGAAAGAAATGAAAGTAATCGAATTATTCAATCAAATAGTTAATTTTGATAGATATGTTTTAAATTGTTGGATTTCAGCTCGAGTTCTTGACGCTCGAATACAAATTCAGTGAGGATCAATAACTGAATCGGATCGGCTAGCTAACAAATTGATTTAATGATGAAACTTCAGAAAATTAAGTAAACAATCAATATTTACTAAACATAAGGAGTCTTATATGAGCTCAATAAACTAAGACAAGTCGAACCAAACTCAAAGTGGCTTGTTTCAGTTAGCAACTCTAGTGTTAGAAACTTTATTCAATATAATAATAAAAAAATAAACTTGGCAGTTGATAATTGTGACATTAAAAGTTTAAATATTTGGAGGAGACAAAAATAATGTGGCTATGTTTGGATATTTGCAGATTTGTGTGAAATTAGCCGGTTGAACCTCATTTAAAGGTTTGCCCGTCAAATTAGCTAATTCATTTATTTGGTAAAATAGTTTATTTGTTTAGCTTTTTTAGCTTAAATTTCTAATTTTGAAAAGACTCAATATAGGAACAGTTTAACAAGAGAGAATTCATACAAATAATATGCCAATATATTTTTTAAAAATAATTATACAACCCTTTTTTATAAAACAATTATTTCAAAGAATTAATACGACATGCTACTCAAATTGTTAGTTTTTTGATTAAGTTTTGTCCCACATCGGATGTGTACCAAAGATGTGTAGGATCTTTTTAGTATAAATATGTCCCTTGTCTTTGGGTTACAATTGCACTTTATTCTATTATCTCCTATTTAGAAGGAAATCCTTATTTAAGGAAATCCTATTTTGTGGGTTATTTAACCCTAGTTGTATTTTGTTGGTGAGTTTAGTAAATTTGGCGTTGCGGTTGGCGGTGCCCGGAGACGTAGGTTATTTTCACCGAACTCTGTTATCAATTTTAGTGTTCTTCTTTTCTTCCCGTCTTTTATTTATTTGTGTTGGCTTATTTTCGTTTGGAGTAGTGTTCGCCATATTTGTTGGAGGGGTATTTTTGTCCACTGCGCTTGTTGTGATACTTCAACAAGTGGTATCAGAGCCGAAGGTTCGTCCCAGGCTCATTCGGAGAGGCGAGCACTGCATTCGGGTCCGAGATGTCCAAGGAGGTCAAGGGCGCATCATCCTTTGCATTCATTCCGGCAAGGACGGTGATGCCGAACGTCAGACTCCCGGTGGAGATCTTCGACGGGACCGGTCATTTCGGCATGTGGCAAGGCGAGGTGCTGGATTGTTTATTTCAGCAAGGCGTCGACATTGCGATTGAAAAGGAGAAGCCAACAGACGTTGAAGAGAAGGACTGGAAGAATATCAACCGCTTAGCATGTGGAACAATTCGTTCGCGTTTGTCGAGGGAGCAGAAGTACGCGTTCAAGAATGAGAACTCTGCTCACACTTTGTGGAAGGCTTTGGAGGATAAATTTCTGAAGAAAAGCGGCCAGAATAAGCTCCTCATGAAGAAGCGATTGTTCCGTTTTGAGTACCGGCATGGCACATTGATGAATGATCACGTCACTGCATTCAATCAGCTAGTTGCAGATTTGTTGAATTTGGACGTCACATTCAGCGATGAAGATTTGGCTCTAATGTTGTTATCATCACTTCCAGACGACTTCGAGCACTTAGAGACTACTCTGCTCCATGGGAAGGACGATGTAACTCTTGCAGTGGTCAGTTCTGCTCTGTATAGCTATGAGTTGAGAAAGAAGAACAAACAAGAGACGAAGAATGCAACAGCAGAAGATGAAGCGTTAGTTGCAAGAGGTCGGTCGAAGAGCCAAAAGAAGAATGGACGAGGAAGATCACGTTCCAAAGCCAAGCTTGAAAAAGACGAGTGTGCTTTCTGCCATGAGAAGGGACACTAGAAGAAAGACTGTCCTAAGTTGAAGAAGAAGGCAAATCTCCTCAAGATGCATATGTTGCTGAGGGTGGAAGTGAAGACTCAGAATTTTCACTTGTGGTTTCACCATCATCATCTCATCCAGACGAATGGATTTTGGATTCAGGATGCACCTACCATATGTCTCCCATAAGGGAGTGGTTCTTCAATTTTCAGAAGATCAATGGAGGGGTTGTCTATATGGGCAATGATAATGCCTGTAATTTGAAGAACCGCGACGGTTCCACCAGAGTTTTGACGCATGTTCGGTACATGTCGAGTTTGAAGAAAAACCTCATCTCATTAGGAGCCTTGGAATCCAAAGGCTTGGTAGTGACTTTGCGAGATGGAGTTATGAAAGCTACATCCGGCTCGCTCGTGGTGATGAAAGGCATCAGGAGGAATAATTTGTATTACTATGAAGGTGATACAGTTGTTGGGACAATAACAGTAGCAGATTCCACCAACAAGGAGTCTGAAGCAGTCAAGTTGTGGCATATGCATTTGGGACATGCTGGTGAAAAGTCCTTGCAAACATTGGCAAAACAAGGACTGTTGAAAGATGTCAAAGTGTGCAAAGTAGACTTTTGTGAGCACTGTGTTTTGGGAAAGCAGAAAAGAGTGAAGTTTGGAACGGCTATCCATAATACCGAAGGTGTCTTGGATTATGTTCATTCGGATGTTTGGGGACCTTCTAAGACTCCATCATTAGGCGGAAGGCGCTATTTTGTCACTTTCATCGATGACTTTTCCAGACGTGTTTGGGTATACACTATGAAGACGAAAGATGAAGTGCTTGGTGTCTTCATTACATGGAAGACACAAATTGAGAATCAGACTGGAAGGAAGATCAAGGTCCTACGAACGGACAATGGTGGAGAATATACAAGCGATCCCTTTCAAGAAGTTTGCCGTAAAAATGGCATTGTTAGGCACTTCACCGTTAGAGGGACACCACAACAAAATGGGGTGGCGGAGCGCATGAATCGAACATTGGTGGAGAAAGTTCGATGTATGTTGTCCAATGCTGGTTTGGGCAAGGAGTACTGGGCTGAGGCTGTAACATACGCGCAACACCTCATAAATCGTTTGTCGTCATCTGCAAAAGATGGTAAAACACCGTTGGAGGTTTGGTCGGGGAAACCTGTTGCTGACTATGGATTTTTACATGTCTTTGGGTGTCCTACGTTCTATCATGTGAAGGATTCAAAGTTAGATCCAAGAGCAAAAAAGGCTTTGTTCATGGGAATCACAATTGGCGTGAAGGGATTTCGTCTTTTGTGTCTTGAGACGAAGAAAACTGTGTTTAGCAGGGATGTTACATTCGATGAACAAAGGATGATAAAGACGACGCAAACCCAATAGGTGGAGTTGACACCGAAGCAGGTGGAGATAGATGCGATGACGAGACAACCAGCTATGATCGATGAAACAATATCAAACGATTCGTGGGATGATGAAGTTCAGACTCATGAATCA